CTCCACCAGTGTGTGAATGGGTGGATGACTGGGTGTGTAAAGGGGGACTAGTAAAAGCGCTATACAAATACAGGCCATTTACCATTACCATTTAGACATGTAAATATGAGTCTTTACTGAAAGGTGTAAACACACTGCTCTGTTTCCCAAAAATGAGTATTATAGTCCATACAAAGGTAATAATATATGTCTATGTGAAAGAGCAAATCAAAGTGCCTAAAATCTGCACATTTGCAAATTGTCATTATAGTGGAGCACATAAACTTACGGCTTTTTGCTGCGGAGTTTAAAACTATGCCTGTAGAAAAGGGAGGATAACAAAACACCCTGAAATCATCAAATGAAATCATCAAACTTTTCTTTTTTTAGATCCTGGCATTTCCAAATTCAGTAATTCTTTTATGAAAAGAGGAGCATCCATTCGTCGGAGTCTGAAAATGGTTACTAAGAAGGATACTGATAAAGTCTCCACTAAGGTCATCTCTGAGGCCTCAGTGGAGGAAGACATGGAAAAGAAAGAGGAGGAGGAGGTTCTTAGAGAAGAGATCGAAGATTGCTACGTACTGCCAAGTATCCCCCTCACACCACTGTCAGGTACAGTCTCCACTACATGTTCACGTTGGTTTAAATTGACTGTGACTTCATATAACACTTTTTTGACTGTAACAACATGTAGAAGGCAGAATAGCACCGTGTCTCAAATGTCCCCTAACATGTTTTCTGTGTATACATGCCACGCTGTAGTCTGGATCTGTCTCTTTACTGTTTGTTTTTGCAACAGACAGAGCCAATGATAAGAGCTTCCTTTGTCATGTAAATACACAGAGGTTCAGTTTATCTGTAGACACAGTTTCAAATCCAGTCTCATAAATGGGACACTGGTTTAAAATCCCAAGTTTTCAGTTATTTTCTGGATTTGTGGATAAAACATATTTAGCTATTGCCCAATTCCGTTTGTTATGGAATATCAAAGTTTGTGTTACTGCTGAACTTGAACAACTCAGTCTGTGCAAGAGGGTGGAAGAAACCCCTCTACAGGTCTGTACAGGTCTGTCCACAGCTCCAAGTTACCTCAATTTGAGCCATG